ATATAATTTTTATTTTATGTGTATGAGTGTATTGTCTGCATGTATGTGAGTGCACTCAGGCCGTGCAATATGATGGAATGGAGGCCAGAAGAGGGTGTCAGACTGTCCTGGAACTGGAGTTAAGGATGGTTCATGCCACCATGTGGGAGCTGGGAATCGAAACTAGGTCTACTGCAAGAGCAGTCAGAGCTAAGCCATCTCTCCAGCCTCAGCAATCTTTTCTTGAGGAGTCTGTAGATACTCCCATCATGAAATAAGGGGTGAACGGGTGGATTGGGGAGGGAGATGATTTGGATTTATTTACACATATGATAAGGGTTTTACATTCTGGGTTTGAATAAATTTCTGATCAAAATGAACCCAAGATGAGATCACCTCAAATTACTATTTGATTCATACTTGGAAACAAAAACGAACCAACTTAACTTGGTCTGTCTTTGGGGGAATGGATTTGGCTGCTCTTAGATGCCCAGGCCCAATGTTCAAAGACATCTGAATCCCAAATGATTTCTCACCTGGCTCAATTCTTTGACAATAATTTAGGGTATAAACTGAAATCCCAAGTGGTCTACACTTTACAGCATTGCGATGCTGACCACAAATATTCCAACTGTGCTCGCTCTTTCTACGTGGATGTCCTCTCCTAGTAATTTTTGGGATCCTCAATGTGTCTTTTTACTTCCACTTAAGGGGAAAAATGAATGATCCCTGTGCACCCACTGACTCATGTGAATTTTTACTGTTGACTGAAAACAAGTGGAATTCCCTGTCGACAGTGTGCATCAGGAATTGTGGCACTGCTTGGTTCCAGTAAGCCCATCAGAGGCAAGAGAGACAAGTTAGACCCTCTCTAAGAAAGAACTGTGCTGTCCTCAGATCAGACTAGCTGGTCCAGAGAAGTCAGGGAGCTTGTCACTTGTCATCAGCTGCTGGGGTCTTTGTAACTGGGGTGCCTGGCAGATATTGAAAATGTATATGTTGGTCAAAAAAAATTAAATCCAGAGTATAACTAAAGGAGATGGAGGGGAGCCTACTAAAGTACACCTTGCTTGATACCTAATATCTTGAGTGCTAATTAAGTAAAAAAAAGCACAAAGCTGGTAAAACAACATAGCCCAAAACAGAAAGTAGGAATGGACATATATTTACACCACACACACACACACACACACACACACACACACACACACACAGACAGACACACACAGATGAGAGCTCCATACCCACAAAAGATACAAGCAAGTGCTTTAATCAATACACCAGAAGATATCCTTGCTGCCTGAGGAAGGAAGTGCCTCCTGCCTCCTGCCTCGTCATGCCCACCCGCTTCTTTAACAGGGATAGGAAGAAGAAAGAATTTCTCTTTGAACCCAGCATTAGATGAACATAACCAAGTCTTTACATGTGGCTTTGGAGAAGGCTGCTAAGATGCTGGCAAACACGACATCAGGGGTCTGGCATGCATCAATGGCACAGTGGATCCCTCGTTTCCTGTAGTACTCCACCAGTGGGGTGGTCTGGGTGTGGTAGGCCTCCAGACGGGTCTTCAAGGCCTTCTCGTTGTCATCTGATCTACGGATTAATGGTTCCCCAGTGATCTAGAACAAGAAGGGGAGTAAAGTGTGGGGCTGTTAGCAGGGCTTCCTTACCCATGCCAGATGCGGATGAGATGCAGCCATTCTGTCTGGCCTGGGACGTCGTCTCATCCCACAGCCCAGCAGAGGCAAGAGAAACAATCTACACCCTCTCTATAAGGACCTGTGCTGCTCCCAGAAGCAGACTAGCTGACCAAGAGAAGTTAGGGAGTCTCTGAGAAACTGCAGCTGTGAGGAAAGGAGCTTTCACAAGAGTAAGATGGGCAACACCTTTTGCTCATAGCTATGTACTCAGGCAGCTCAGCTTCCAAGGCAGGCACTTCCAGGGTGAGGAGGAAGAGGAAGGCCTTCGAGACCAAGAGAACACAGCAACATCAGAGCTGCATTAGCAATTGCAGCTTTAGTTGCTTAAATATTTAGCATAATTACTAGAGCACCACCCACTGACATTCTAAAAGCAGCAAGTGAAGTGAGAAAGAACTGGTGGAATTGCCAATTTTTTGAAATGTGACTAAGCTGGTATATGGGCTTTAGAACTGTGTTTACAGAACTTTGATGACTTGGTGAACTTGTCTCACATGGCAAAGGTGAAAGGAAAAGCAGGAAATTTCCCACAGTGATCTGCACACTCTAAAACAGACCATGGGAACTCCTGATGAGTGAACAGAGCATGGGTGAGACCCCAGGGCACAGCACAACAGCCACTAGATACTCTGGGAGCAGGCCCTCTGGGGTACCACCACCAGCAAACCTCTCTGTGCCCCCTTCCTGGCAACACTCTCCTGACTAGCTGACCACTTAGATGGCCATGAGGCCAGGACGGGCTGCTGTGACAGACAGTACAGTCTGGGGATTGACACACAGCTGGCACTAGCCGCAGGTTTGAGGTTGAACAATAAAGCCACCTGGGAGACAGTGTGCAGATCCGTCACAGGTCATCTCATTTACAAGACAGTGATGGTTTTTCAGGTTAAGTTTGTGTTATTGGTAGAAGGGAAGATGGAGAGAACAAAGGCAAAAGAAGAAAGCCAACAAGAAGAAGAAAACTTCCTGTCCTGAGTTTACATACGTCATCTTTCATGGGCTCCTTTGGGGGGTTGAACTCCTCATGGTAGGACCGGCCACTCTTGGGGTGAATCAGCCTGAAAGACAGCAGAGGAGTCTAAATCCGGTTGCCTGGAGGGGGATCCAGAACCACAAGCAGACACAGAAGCTAGATGGGAGACTTACCAGAGAACCCAGGTGTCAGCACCTCTCACTTAGGAAGATAACCAGCCTTCCAGCAGAGAACCAGTTATTGGTACTTCTTGTTTAGGAAAATAACTAGCATTACTTAAGAAAATAACTAGGCTAATAACCCCACCCATAGCAGAGCATGTTTTCTGCTTTATCCAAACACTGTCTGAAAACCAGTGGCATAGCCACCTAATTCAGGACTCTAAGAAGGAACTCTGATGGTTGTCTCACAGTCATCCACTCTATTCATGCCCATTTATTCAACAAACACTAACAAGTTCCTATTCTAAATTAAATCTTATGTTGAACCCATGGGTTATGAAGCAAGGGGTCGAGAGCTCAGTTCACTCACAAGTAGTCTTAGCGGGCAGACCACTGTGGAAATAATTAGTTGCAACACATGTGACAATCCCTTACCAGCTTTGTACAAAGTGCTAAGTGGCACAGAAGACGGAGCAATCAACCCTGTTTTTCTTCTCTTATAAAACAAGGTCTTACTACATATCCTAGGCTGGACCAGAACTTATGATCCTGCTGTATTAACCTCCCAAGTGCCTTGGAATATAGGTACATACCACTTAATCCTATATTCTAACCCAGTTTGGTTACAAAGGCAAACAGGTGCTAATACAAAATACTACGTTCCATGGATATGCAGACGATGAAGTAGACCTGTGTAATCAATCACACAGATAAAGCACAGCTCAAGAAACACCAGGCAACAGTCATGAAGCTGGGCACAGTAGTATGTGCTGCAGTCTCAGCTGAGGAACCTAAGGTGGGGGACCATTTGGGCAACACAGTTAGATTCTATCTCAAAACAAACACACTGGGTGGTGGTTCACGCCTGTAATCCTAGAACTTGGGGTGGCCAAAGTAGGATTCCCATAGTTCAAGGCTAGCCTGAGCTACATAATGAATTCTAGGTCAGCCTGAGCTATAGAGTGAGATCCTATCTTAAAAAAAGAAAACAAAGATAATGGGCTAGAGAAATTGCTCAGCAGCTAAGAGTTCTGGCTGTTCTTCTAGAGGACCTGGGTTCAGTTCCCAGCACCCGCATGGCTGCTAATGACCATCTATAACTCCAAGTCCAGGGGATCTGACACCCTCTTCTGGCTTCTGTGGGCACTGTACACATGTGGAATACTAACATACATGTAGGCAAAACTCTCATATACATTAAAAAAATGCAAAAGCTTAGATTTCATAATAAACAAACAAAAGCAGGGCCAGTGGGAAGGCTCAGTGGGTAAAGGTACTTGCCATCAAGCCTGACAACCTGAGTCTGATCCCTGAGACCCATATGGTGGAGAGAAGTGACTCTTCTGGCCTCCACATGTGGACTGTAGCACTCATGTTAACCCCACCCCTGATAATAAATATATTAATAAAAAAGAAAACGGGGCTGGAGAGACGGCTCGGCAGTTAAGGTGCTTCTTGCGCTTGCAGAGCATCCACGTTTGGTTCCCAGCACCTACGTCAGGCAGCTCACAACTGCCTACAACTCCACTCCATATCCACAGGTACCTACACTCATGCACATACCACACAGACACACGAATACACATAATTAAAAATAATTTAAAACAAACAAACATATAAGCACAAGTAATGAACTAGCTCAAGAGCAAGCATTTGTTAGGCAACAGGCTTGTGTTCCTAAGTAGGGATGGCCACATAAAGAAGATCCTGGAAACCCAAGAGAAGGGGACAGGCCAAATTTGGCTCCGCAGTCAGTGCCTGCTTGAGCTGTGTACTTTAATTTTCTGCTCACCAGATGTTTGCTTATTTAACTGGCAGCTGTTCCCCTCATGAAAGTCTTAGATTAGAGTTTCCTACCACTTTTCAGCTTTTGGTGTTCACCTCTACAGTATTTGTACAGGCCTATTCCTTCTGGGGCAACAATGACCATTCTAGGCTTACCTAGTGGCTCTGAGGCTTATGGGGGTGGGGGGGTTATCATCTGGGAAATTCTATTTATTTATTTATTTATTAATTTTTGGTCTTTTTTGAGAGGGAAATTCTATTTAATCAATGAAGTCTTAGTAAAATGTGGTACTGAATTAACATTAAGATTAATTTTTAGAAATGTATTTATTTGTACTTTATGTATGGGTATGAGTGTTTTGCCTGCATGTATTTTTTTTTTTTTTGTCTTTTTGAGACAGGGTCTCCCTGTAGCCCCAGCTGTCCTGGAACTCACTATGTAGACCTGGCTGGCCTACATGTATGTAAGTACACCACATACATGCAATGCTCCCAGAGGCCAGAAGATGGCATCAGATTCTCTGGAACTGGAGTTAGAGATGGGTATAAGCTGATGTGTGGGTGCTGGGAACTGAACCCAGGTCCTCTGAAGAGCAGCCAGTGTTACTAATCACTGAACCATCTCTCCAGCCCCTAAAAATGTATGAGCCACCCAGTATGTGTGCTGGGAATTGAACACGGGTCCCCTGGCAGAGCAGTATGTGATCTTAACTGTTGAGCCATCTCTCTGGCCTTCAATACTGCAATTGGTGTGTGCCACCATGCTAAGCGAGATACTGCATTTTAATCACAGCATATTTTGGAGAAATAAGATGATCCATTTACACTATCATAAAGTGGTAGAAGGCTAATGGGAGGGGGCAAAGTGATAGTGCAGAAAAACAGCTGTAGTGAAGAGTGGGCTTGTGGTAACAACTACATATGATGAAGGTGGGTCCTCCATTATCGGAGCCCCTGGGAGTCTTCCATTCAGAAATGGCATCTACTGGGAAGCCCTGGGAGAGGGAGAGCACAGGTCACTGGGCTAGGTGCCGCATCTTTGAGAAGAGCCAGGGACAATGGCATTTCTTCATCTTCTGGAGAACATGAGGCACCTAATAGCCAGGTTGCAACAAAGACAACCCTCTCCTCTCCACATCTCTACCATTCAGAAACGTCTAGATCCCTCAGGCCTCTGATTACTCACAATATGCTCTTCTTTCCCCATTCAGAAACATCATTTTTAGGGGTAAGCAAGGCAAAGTCTTCTGAAGAAAATAGGTCAATGAAAGAAAGAAAGCGCCACCTCCACATTCTAGTCATGGGTGGGGCTGGGCTCAAGCAACAACCAAACCACTCCACGAACCACTGAGCCAGCCTGGCAATGTTGGCAAAGGTGGGCTGTGATCTGGGCTTCTACATCACTGCTACCTGCAGCATGACACTGAGACACTTGTTTTTACATCCACAAAATGGGGTTGGTACTAGACACCAGGTTAATGATACCTGAGAGCCAATGGTAAAGATAAATAGGACACCTGAGAGCCAGGATCAAATATGTGAAAACCAGAACTCAAATCACCATGCATACACACTTAAGAAACAAAATAACAACTCCAAATCATTAGAAGTGAGGTCACAACAAATTCAGAAAGCTGTTATAGCAAGGCCCTTACCACCTCCACTTTAGACTTAAGATCTGTTAAGTGTACCAGTACTTGGCCTTTCTTCCAACCATCAGCAAGGCAGATTAGGAGGCAGAAAGCAAGTTCTAGATGACAGTCCTATGACTCATCTGCTGAGTGAACCTTCACTAGACTGGCATATCTTGTGAAGAAGTGGGTCTTCTTCCATTAGGGAGGAGCCACACTGAACTAAATCACTTCCAAACTGAGGAACCAAGTCTCCCCCTTCTCTATTGTAATTTGGCAGTTTGTTCTTTGGAATCTTTTACCCTCCCCCCTCCCCCCAACCAGTCATGTGGAAATGAGCAGGCTCCCAGACAGAATCCTTATCTGTTTCCCCTCATCCCCAATTTAGAGTGAACATCAGTACTAAGGCAATGTTCTTACAATGTTGTTCTTGCTCTAAACCTAGTGGCAGATCATGCCAAGACTCCTGAATTATCAAACCTACTCTCTTCAGCCCTACAGACCTTTCGAACTCACCCTTTCTTCTCAGCAGCACTCATTCCATCACTGCTGCCTCCAAAGCACTCCTCCAACCACGGGCTGGTAAGTCCACTGCTGGCCTCAGCCTGAACCCCTCCCTAAACAATACTCATTCCTTCTTCTGGAGTCACTGAAACTCTCTCCACTCAAGAAGGCTGAGGTGATGTTCTACCTCTGTGGGCAGCTGCTCCTATTTATCCCTAGGCTCCCTTCTTCCTACTGCATGGAGTGGCTAGAACTACTCAAACATGACTCTCTGAGATCAGAGATGATGTCCTGTGCTATTCTTTTAGTTTCTCTTGATTTTCAGCCCTAGGGTATTGTGCTATGTAGGAAGCTGACTCAGGGTGCTGACCCTATCCAAAGACCTCCAGGGTCACCTGGTCCTGTGGTCCCTGCTTTGTATCTCAAGGACACGGGGCCTAGAGGTGTCTCTTACTATCAACTCTTCTGCTTCTAGTCCTACATCAATTTTGTCTACTCCATGACCAATGGCACATCAAGAAACACAAGTCTCTGGGGGAACCTATGGAATAGCTAGAAACATAAAATTGGACAAAGAAAAGAATATTCAGAATATTAATGTAAGGTAAGTTTGAGAGTACTCCACAAGCCTTCCAGGATAATACTTCTCATGCTGTAACATGTCTGGCTTTCTCCTTGAAGGTATGGATTAGAGAAACATGGAAAAATGTTCAACTTCAGCAGGAAAGCAAAGTAATATTCTAAACCAAGAAAACATTTTCTTCCTGATTGTGGAAATTTACATGCCCTGTAAGTGTGACCACATTAATTTAACAGAAGCAAACTAGAAGAAACATATATTATTATTGTTTAGATATAGTACTGTTGTATGCTATTATATTTATTATTCCCTCATATATCAACAAGGGAATAATAAAAACTGATTTACTTAGTACTGTGAAATACCATGCAACAATTTTTTTTTTTTGGTCTTTTTGAGACAGGGTCTCCCTGTAGCCCCAGCTGGCCTGAACTCTCTATGTAGACCAGGCTGGCCTTAAACTCACAGATATCCGACTGCCTCTGCCTCCCAAGTGCTGGAATTAAAGGTGAAAGGCAGACAGGTATGCAGGATGCCTTTGAGAAGCCCCACGCCACAGAGGAGCTCACACTGGTCAGGTCACCAAGTACATCTATGCCTGGCTGCAGAGTAAGGAACTGTGTGATTGAGGCCCTGCACAGAGCCAAGTTCAAGTTCAAGGAAGATATGGTGGCTGAGAAGAGGCTCATCTCTAATGACTCTGGGGTCAAATAGATCTCCAGCCATGGTTCCTAGACAAGCGGCAGATCCTGTACTCACGAGGGCTTCCAATGTGCTGTAACACTCCCCCCCACCCAAATTATGTTTACCAATGAATCCTACACCCGATTTACAAAGAAAAAAAAATGTAGTGTAGGGTCCATTAGTGGTTTTGGAAGGTATGAAGAGGATGACAGAAAAATAGGACAGAGAGAAACTGCAGCTTCAAACTGTTGCAGAACTTCAGAACCAACTTGTTCAGAAAGCACTAGAGAAATAAACATAAAAACAAGCTGACTAGGGACATGATTTTCCTTCATCTTTTAGTAAAAATTTTTGTATAGATGACATTATTATTGTCATTTAACACAGTGTCTCACTATGTAGGCCAAGCTGGTCTAGAACTTGGTATTCTGTCTCAGCCTCCTAAGTGCAACCAACATTCCTGGCTAGTCATATTATTTTTATAATTAGTAAGAAACGTCTATAGCAAAGTATAGCACTTCCAATTGTGTTCTAGTTTGTTTTTCCATTGCTGTGACAAAACACTCGACCAATACCAACTTGGGGAGGAAAGGGTTTATTTGGTTTACATCTCCCGGGTCACAGTTCATCACTCAGGGAGCCCAAGGTAGAAATGCAGGGCAGGGACCTGGAGGCAGGAGCTGAAGCACAGGCCATGGAGGAACTCTGCTTACTGGCTTGCTCTCCTGGCTCCTGCTCAGCCTGTTTTCTTTCTTTTTTTTTTTAAATTAAATATTTTATTTATTATTTTTATTTCATGTGTATGTGTGTATTGCCTGCATGTAGGTAAGTGCACCCGTGTTGTGCAATGCCTGCGGAGGACAGAAGAGGCTGTCGGATCCCCTGGAACTGGAGTTACGGACAGTTGTTAACTGCCATGTGGGTGCTGGGATTCGAACCTGGGTCGTCTGCAAGAACAGTCAGTGTTCTTAACCACTGAGCCATGTCTCCAGCCCCTCAGCCTGCTTTCTTATACAACATAGGCCCACCTGCCCAGGGGTAGCACCACCACAGTGGGCTGGGTCCTCCACAGCACTTAATAATCAAGAAGATGCCCCATAGACATGGCCACAGACCAGTCCAATGGAGGCAGCTCCCCAATTGAGGCTTCTTCTACACAGGTGTGTCAAGTTGACTCTAAGGCACAAACTGAAACAAGATTTATAAAGCCCTAAAACAGATCTACCTATAAGGAAGTTAACATTTCTAAGCATCTACAATAAGCAAAGCTTCAAACTATGTATTTTGTTATCTAATATACACAACAGGTTTTTTTTTGGGGGGCGGGGAAGGTCTTTTTGAGACAGGGTTTCCCTGTAGCCCCAGCTGTCCTGGAACTCACTATGTAGACCAGGCCAGCCTTGAACTCAGAGATCCACCTGCCTCTGCCTCCCAAGTGCTGAGATTAAAGGCATGCACCACCACGCCTGGCAACACAACAGTTTTTTAAAGCAGGTATTATTGGTTCCATTTTACATCTGAGGGAACAGCTGTTTTAGAAAGATTAAGAAATCTGTGTAGACTGCGATGCTGTCTGACTTTGAGGCCCTTGCTCTTCTTTCCAAACCCCCACCCCATGTTACATCAGTAGATGTTGTCATACAAGATCAAACATCTTGAACTGGCACTAGGCTTCATGACTGGGATTAGTAACAGCAAGCTTCTGAAAGCGCTAAGGAAGCATGGGAGGGAATTTCAGGGGACAAATACCTTCCAGTGATTCTCCGGATCAACAGGGAGTCTGGGATGCTGAACTCAATTACAGAATCAAGTTTCTCTTTCCTCTTTTCCATGAGGTTGTCAAGCTGTAAAAAGAGTATGTGACCCACATAAGCTTGGTCAGACCCATCTCCTTCAAAGGAATTAGAGACAAAGGGTCAGCATTTGCCTTCATGCAATGGAGACACAAATACAACCCACCATTTCAGCCTGCCTCACAGTGCGAGGGAAGCCATCTAGAAGAAAGCCGTTTTTGCATGAAGGAGTCTCCAAGTTCTTCTCGATGAGCTCCACTACCATTTCATCACTCACCTACAAGTTAAGAAAACAGCTTAGGATTCAATTCTGTTACCTATATGACATTAGCCCAACACCAGGACCAAAGGTATGTGTACATAACTTGGCTATTAAACAGCAAGGCAGCTTAACCCCAAAGAAGCAAAGGCAAACCCAATGTGGAGTACCTCTATTGGGGTGTGGCTTTTAAATGCCCTCATTATGTGTTGAGGCTTGACCCTCAATGAAGCAATGTTTTATCTGACTTTTTAAGTGTGCTTTATTTATCACTGTATGTTTATGATGGGAGGGGCAAGCAGATGCCATGGCCCACACAGGGAGTCAGCTTTCTCCTATCTTAACATGGATTCGGTGGATTGAACTTAGGTAGTCAGGCTTATGTAGCCGTGCTTTTACCTGCTAAGCCATCCTGCTCTTGGGCTCTGTCTCTCTGCCTCTAAGAGGTGGGTTGCTCTGTTCCACTGTATGCTCTGCACCATGATGCTAAGCTTCATTCAGGTCTAGAAACAATGGTAACAAGCAACCTTGGGCTGAAACTGAGCTCAAATAGTATTTCCCTCTTAAGTTGATTTATCTTAGGTGTCTTGTCACAGTGATACAAATCTGATCCATAAAGGTTACATTACATCTGCAATACCCACATTCATGATAATCCTATAGTTGCCATATACATCTCTTCCCTTGAAACTCTCCTGTGTTCCAACAACCTGGGTAAGGAAGGGGAGTGGGGCTCCACAGCCAGCTGCCCCACCAGGAGAGCTCCATGTCTTGGGTCCTAAAGGCCTTGTCTGTCACTAGTGCCGGAGTCCTAACCATCATGTGACCGCTTATCAGCAATGAGCTGTCCTTAAGGCACAAGGGGGATGAAAGCCAATGGAAGAGAGACCACCTGAGAACCAGGAGAGAATGGGTAAGTGTACGAGGACACAGGTAGGTTATCCACCATCCCTGACTCACAATTTCATCAAGCTAACAATATCATGATTGAAGGCCAAGTGGCAGAGGCAGATCTTTGATTTCAAGGTCAGGCCAGGGCTATATAGTGAGACTGTCGCAAACAAAACAAAACAAAAATATCATGACTGGGATGTGGGCTTGATCACATATCTGGGCTGTGCCAGACATGAAAAAGAATTTCACGGAAATGGCGAAATTGGGTCAGAAACAAGGAACTGAAGGAAAAGCCACTGCAATGTACTCTGTACCTCTAAAAGTTCTATTGAGGAGGACCTCTCACAGCATTAACCTCCCCCATGCCTTTAAAGAGACACGTTCCCACCTGTATTATAGCAAAGGGCGCCAATCTTGGGTGCTCTTATCTTCAGGACTAGCTATCAATAAGGGACAGAGTATAAACTCTGTAACTGAGCAAAGGCTTAGAGAAAAGCAATCTCACTGTCATATCCCAATTTTCTCTCAGTACAGAATTTTCTACCAGGACCCAAAGTCCAGAATATCTAGCTTTCTGGCTTGATTTCAAGGCTTCACTGATATAAAAGAACAGCCAGAAAGAAATACATGGACTGGGTAGACAGGCGGTGGTTCTTCTCAATACTGAAAGAGCTTTTCAATACCTAATAGATTATTTGGGGGTGGGGGGAAATCCAGCCAACATGCTCAGACACAAAGGACTAAGGAATCAGGCAGGTAAGATGGCTCAGTGGGCAAGGCCACTTGCTGCCAAAGCCTGATGACCTGAGTTTGATCCCTGAGACCCACGTGGCAGGAAGAGAGAATTATCTCCAGCTACTTGTCCTCAGACCTCTACACTTCGCCCTGCAAATAAATACATACATAAGTAAAAATAGAATAAAAAATTAATTCTACCAATCCATGACCATGGTAGGTCTCCTAGTGAATTCCTCTCTTTAAAGATTTAAATTTTTCGACAGGTGTGGTGGTGTGTGCCTTTAATCCAGAGGCAGGGCAGAGGCAGGTGGATCTCTGTGAGATTGATACCACCCTGGTTCACATTTCGACTTCCAGGTAGGCTGTGACTAGGGAGACCCTGTCAAATACAACCAACAAAAAAGACAAAAAAAACAAAAAACAAAAAACAAAAAAACACAAGATTTAAAATTAGGTTTATTCCTAAATCTCTCTCTCCTTTAATTTTTTGGTCTTTTTGACCAACTGGCCTGCAATTCACTATGTAGATCAGGTTGGCCTGGAACTCACAGAGATCTATCTGCCTGTCTCTGCTTCCCAAGTGCAGGGACTAAAGGTGTGTACCACTACACCCAGCTCCTAATTATCTTTTTTTGTTGTTGTTGTTGAGGTTATTGTGAGTGGGAGGGTTTCCTTGAATGCTTTTTCTGATTGCTTATTATTGGTATATAGAAAGTTGATTTTGTAACCTGCCACTTTACTAAAAGTATTAATCATTTCTAACAGTTTTCTGGTGGAATTTTTGGGATCACTTATATATAACATATCATTTACAAACAGTGATTTGACCTCTTCTTTTTCAATTGGTACTCCTTTAATTTCCTTCTCTTGTCTTATTGCTCTTGCAAGAGTTTCAAGCACTATGTTAAAAAGGAGTTGAGACAGTGGACAGTCCTGTCTGGTTCTTGATTTTAATGGGAATGCTTCCAGTTTTTCTCCATTTAGAATGATGTTGGTATGGGTTTGTTGTATATAGCTATAATTATTTTGAGGTATGTTCCCTCCAGACCAGACTTTTAACATGAATTCATGTTGGATTTTGTCAAAGGCCTTTTCTGACTCTTTTGAGATGACTGTGATTTTTGTCTTTAAGCCCATTTATGTTTTATTACATTTAATGATTTATGTATATTGAACCATCCCTTCATCAGCAGTAAGAAAAGATGAAATTAAGAAATTTTCAGGCAAATCGATAGAATTAGACTGTTGTACTAAGTGAAGTAACAAACGGAGAAAAGCAAGCGACGTTATGTTCTCCCTCATTTGCAGATTGTAGCACCAATCCCTTATATGTGAGTATATATCCTGATGTAACACCAGGAGCCAGGAAAATGGAAAGAGGGAGGTAAAGGAAAAGAAAGAGCCGGAAAGAGGGGGATAGTGGGAAACAGACATTACTGGGGGGGAAGCAGGGAAAGTGGGAGTGTTACATACAGCACTTGCCTACTATACACTGAGTTCAAGCACAAAATGACTTCCAAAACACTTCTAAAAGATTTCTCAGAGGTTAGTTCCACAGTAAATGTACACTCTGGCCCCATCAGATTTAGTAGACTAAATCTTTGCACTGATTTGTTCAAACCAGGCCAAATGGCCTATCATTATTCCCCAAATAAGATTATTTTCCACACCTGCCAAGTAACTCCCTTACAAACAGAGCAGTGACTCACAAAAGAGGTTGAAATCATTTCTGTGGTCTCTTAAATCTGTGGTGTACATTCCTGAGTCCTGTCCTCGAAATGACAATTTCATTTTGTCGTATTTAATTTGGTTAAATTACAAAAAGAATTACCAGAAAATATCCCCAAGAATATTGCAAAGAGGGCCAGCAAGATGGGTTAGTGGGAAAGGTGCTCGACATACAAGCCTGTCGACTGGAGTCCTAGAACCCATGTAAAGGTAGGAGAACCAACTCTGTTAAGTTGTTCTCTGACCTCCACCTGTGCACCATACACAGCAGCAAACACTCTGTGCTGGACAGCTTTAGTTGTCAACTTGACACACCTGGGTAGAGGGAGCCTCAACTGGGGAACTGCCTCCATTGGACTGGCCTTTGGTCATGTCTGTGAGGTATTTTCTGGATTTTTGAGTGATGTGGGAGGGCCAGCCCACTGAGGGTAGTGCCACCCCTGTACAGGTTGTTCTGTATTGTATAAGAAAGCAGGCTGAGCATGGGCCAGGGGAGCAAGCCAGTAAGCAGCACTCCTCCATGGTCTGTGTGGTTCCTACCCTGGGCTCCCTCAGCAATGAACTGTAACCTGGGAGATGTAAGCCAAATAAACCCTTTCCTCCCCAAGTTGGTATTGGTCAGAGTATTTTGTCACAGCAATTGAAGGCAAACCAGAATATACACACGATAAAATTATTTAAAAACTGTGAATAATTCATAATAAAACCAGAATAAGTCAAGTAACTCACTATTCTGAAAGTTCAAATTATCTGCCAGTTTGTTAGAAACCCAGTCTCCAGCACAGGGCTGTCCCACAAAACTTTCTATGATGGTAGAAATGTTGTGCCTGCACTGGCTGGTGAACATGTGAAATGTGGCCTCTAGAAGAAGGAATTGAATTTTAAATGAAGTTAAAATTAAGCAGCCACATGAAGCTGGTGGCTGCCACCCTATACAATGCAGATCTAGATCAGGAACACCAGCACTTACGAATATGACCAAACCTACCAGTTTCCCAGCATCCATTGTTGCCTTCAGCTTTTTCCCCAGCTCGGAACCAGAAGCTACCATGGCCCTCAGCATGTCCCCAGTGGCCAAATGGCAAACACAGAAGTTTTCAGCCAATTTGGGAGCCTGTTGAGCAAAAGACAATAACCATAAAAGAGTTAATGCTATATGCCCTGGGTATATGCTGAATTCCCAGGGAAGTGAACCAGTTTAAGAAACTCAGTGCTGCCAGGAGTGGCGTCACACACCTTTAATCCCAGTACTAAGAAGGCAGAGGTAAGTGGATCCCTGTGAGATTAAGTCCAGCCTAGTCTACACAGCAAGGTCCAAGCCAGCTAGGGCTATGGGGAGACCCTGTCTCAAAAAAACAAAACAAATAAAAAGAAAGAACAAAACAAAAAGAAGAAAAAAGATGCCCCATGCTTAGCTTTCTGTTCGGTTGTTTAGAAATATTTGGGAACACTGTTGAAATTAGTTCATTGAAAGTTTTCTTAAGTGCACATGAAAAAATAAAATAGAGGGATAGGCCGGGCATGGTGGCGCACGCCTTTAATCCCAGAACTTGGGAGGCAGAGG